AAATAAACGCTGCTGTGCCAGTGAATCAATGGCAAACTCTGTCAAAAACAACCTACTGGATGACCGGAGACATTGGGAATTTAAGTTCCAAACAATGGGAATCCGAGCCAAACACGATCATTTGTTCCGCATAGTCTGCCACGCAAATTCACTTCACCGTGGCCAGCCAAGGCCACTTCAGGTGATGTTTATTTTGGTGGCGAAGCCGTTCGTATATAATCTCACATCACTTGGATTGAGCGTCGGCAAAGGAGGCAAAACGCAGGAGAAAACAGAGCAAACCGACGAAAGAGCGAACTTTGTTTGTAGTGTTGTTGAACTCCAGTCTTCCAAGAAATTACCATTACAAGCTCATGGCTTGGAAAAGTGGTGATACAGCCGCGAAGCCCTCTCACTTCACGAGGTGCTTGCCAACTAAAGTATAGATTGCCAGTATCCTTAACTATAAACGATGTGGTCCAAGGGTGTTGTAAGTCCTGCTCTAGTCCAGAAAATCGGCTAATAGAGTGCTAAGAAGTTTGTCTAATTTACTCACTAAACTGTCATTGGAGATGTCTTTGAAGACGGTCAAAACCAGAGCAAATTTGGCTGAAGGTGCACAAAACTAGTAAGATTTTGTCGTTAGCCCCGCTGTCTGTATTTCAGAACCGAAACGCACTGAAACCCCAGCCTTCCGAAGAGGAAGTAACAGGAAGTTAGCCGCAATTCACCTCTAGAGGTGTTATAATCTTTTCACTACACGCGGTTCCGAAATTAACATTTTATTGCTCCACAAAACTTCTAGCCCAACCGAAGAAAAAAACAGAATGCCAATGGTCTTGACAAAATAACCTATTAATCGCCGTTAACAAACACTGCACAACCACCGCGGACCTTGGCTGTAGTTATAGGTCTCTTACTGAGCTTCGACTTCTAGAATTGGAAGGTCAGATATCAAGCCATTGGTTCCCCATATCTTTTGCCATGGTGTCGGTGGTTTGTAGTCACGTGCAGAAACTAGAACAATCCGGAACGTTCGAAATCGATGCGCTAATCGTTAATACTCGCTTAATCGCTAAAATAGTGGATTTCCTAGACAATGCTTACTTTCGTCCGGACACGTCACCACCTGAGATATCGTCCGAGGTATAGGACGAAAGCCTGGGATTAACCTTCAGTCTTCGGGACGGTGTTCCCTGCCTGTCAGTTCATCTCCTTGGGCAAGCTGCCCGAGAACTTTTTTCCAATGTCCGTGTTCTGGATTCTTTGTTCGAATGTGTGCAGTCGCTCACTGCTACCTTCAGCAAGTTGACGCTTTCCACTAATAAATCGAACGGAAGGTCAGTAGGCCTTGCTTGGTCTGGTTGACACAATGTGGGCCATAATTAGTGTGCATGCCGCGCCCAGATCTGTGCGCCAACGATCACGTCATACATGACATTTTCGTGCTTGCTTTTGACCGTCCCTGGCGTCCATTTCGCATGGTCTCCTCGATAGTCACGTACAAGCACCTTCTGTCCAAGCGTAAACGATCGCTTCTTTGCTTCATGCCGCCGGTTAAGCACCTGTTCCATCCTGCGGTTTCTTTCACCAACAGAAAATTCCGAGTGCGGTCGGATGGCGTTGAAAGTAATGCGGAGATTCCTGTTAATCATAGCATGTGCTGGAGATACTCCGTCTGGCGCTTGTGGATGCTGTGTCGCTCGGTAGAGAAAAACGAACCGGTCTACCACCTCCTCTATACGTCCTTCCCATTTGATTTGTGGAGAGCTTGAACGTATAGACAAACTTTGCTGCCTGGCCATTTGACTGTGGGTGGAAAGGCGGCGAGCGAACATGCTGGACGGCGCGTTGCTTGCAAAACTCAGTAAAAGTTGCTGAAGTGAATTGGGTGCCACTGTCAGTGACAATTGTCTCAGAACAGCTGAATCTGCTAAAGGTTTGACGCAGTTTTGATACAGTGGCATTGGTGGTTGTGCTAGCCATGAGAAATACTTCAGGCCACTTGCCGTATGAGTCGACTATAATGAGGAAAATTCTGCCATTGATCGGTCCTGCCAAGTTGACATGGATGCGGCACCATGGCTTAGCAGCTTTTGGTCATGAATGGATTTCTGATTTTGGTGGCACTTTCAAGACATTGGCGCGCTTCTGCAGCGTTTAGCTATCTCTTCTAGCTATTTGTTCATGAAGGCCCAGTATACATAACTGCGGGCAAGCGTCTTCATCCGGTTGATTCCAGAATGCCTGGCGTGGAACTACCTAATAAGCCGCTCCTGAAGTGCCTTGGGAATGACCACTCTTTCCGAAAACAGCATGCTGTCGTTTACAATAGAGAGTGTCTCCTCTGGAAGTACTGTTGCAACGCGGAGGATTGATATGAACGTAACCAGCTTGTTTTGTTAAACTGTGCAATTTTCTTGAGTACTGGTTCCCGAAGCTTTGCGCTTCGTACAGCTTCTGTGGTAACTGGTAGACCGTGCAGTGCATCAGTTACCAGAAAATTGACTTCAGGATCAATCTCGACCGAGACAATGATTGTGTTCTCATGTGCTTGCTGATGGGCATCAACTAGGCGTGACAGTGCATTCGCTCGGCCAAAGGAAACTGTCGACTAGTATTGGATCTCGAAATCAAACCCCATTAAGATAAGAGCCCAGTGTTGTAGCCGGTTAGCTGTGTAGGCCGGGATGCCCTTTTTCCAACTAAAGATAGCCAGCAAGGGATTGTGATCTCGCAAAAGTTTGAAGCGGCGGCCGTATAGCATTTTGTGGATTTTCTTGACCGCGTACACCATGGCCAATGCTTTTTCTCAATCTGGCTGTAATTCCTCTCGGCTTTCGTAAGTGTTCTGGCGGCATGGGCGATTGCGTTCCGAGATCCATCGGTGTACGAGTATGCAATTACTGCGCCAATCCCAATCTGTGGCTAGGATAATCTCTTTGGAGGGATCAAAATGAGTCAAAAGCAAGTTTGAGGACAGCAATGTCTTGACCCGTTCGAAGACATTCTGGCATTCTGATGTCCAGTTCGAAGTATGGCCTTTGTCTAGTAGCTTGTTTAACGGGGCACGCACGCGGTGCATCTCAGGGAAGAATGCGCTGTAGTGGCTGTTGAGCAAACAAAAGGAACGCAAGGACTGTAGAACTGTTGGTGGAGGCCTTTTTCTAATGGCTTATATGTTTTCCGGATTTGGTCGACTTCCATCAATTTCGAGGATTAGACCAAGGTATTTGACCATCGTCGTGAAAAGTGTGCATTTATCCTCACGCATCCGGAAACGATAGGACAGTATACTACCAGGCACTTCATCCAGGTGGTTAAATAGTTCTTCTGGTGTTCGACCGGACAATATGACATCACCGAGGTATGCAGCGGTTCCAGGAAAGCCCGTTAGCACGGAATCCATCAACTGTTGGGAAATGGCTAGCGCCGTTTTCACACCAGATGACAAGCGGTTGTATTGTAATAGCCCACAATGGGTGTTGATCGTCAACAACTCTCTCGAGGTTTCAGAATGTTTTGAATACAAATCGGTTTTGGTAAGGTTTTATTGTGGCAACATTTCGCCCTTGACACAAGAACTTCTTCAGGCCAGATGAATAGCTAAAAAATTGGCTTAGCTTTTTATGGGGACGTAAGGTGAAAGTTGTAAGACAAAACATGAACCATAGGATAATAGTGTTACAGGTCAATAGGTCAAGCGGCCATGCTAGTGAAACAACAAGCATCGAGCGTTTCTCATTGATCCACGTCACCGGTCGTTCACATGTGAGGCATTCCATTCTTGCGGCTGCTGATTCACGCTCCGACCTGAGTTCGTCCGCCGACACTTTTTCTGACTGACCGGGTTAACCAGCCCGCCACACGTTTGATAACTCCACCCCGTCTGTTCTGTTCACACATTTATTAGTCTTAGTAATCTCGATCGCCTTAGTCATCAACCTTTGGCTTGTTGCTGGTAATCCCCTCCTAAGTATTACGACATTGTCCCAATCAATCGCGCGTCCTGCCTCTAGCGCATGTACCGCCGCCGCTGAATCTTTTGGTAGGGCGCTGTATTCAGGGTCATTTCTCGGTGGACGCGAAACGTACCTGTTGTCTTCTGCTATCCTCGTGCGTAGCTCTCTCGCTGTTTGACCTATATACACGTCTTCACAGTCTTTGCAATTGATTTAATGAAAACAATTTGTCGTTCTGTCTCTTGGAAATGGATCCTTCAAACGCACAAGTGCTGAATAGAGCGTTTGAACCTTTCGAAAAACCCCCATATTTTTTCCCTGTTTAGTACTCTTCTGATAGATTCTGACGTTCCCTTTTTATAAGGGATTTCCACCGTCCCAATCCACTCCGTTGTGCGTCGCGGAGGTGGATTTAGAGCTCTCTGCAATTGACGTTTCACTAACGGCCTCGGATGTCCACTGTCTACTAATTGGTTCACCATCTCCTTACGAGCGGCCTTTCTGTCCTCCTTCTCTGTTACTGTTTTCTAGCGACAAAACTTAAAAGCCAATGGGTTTCTTTGTATACTAGCTAAATTGGCCACAAATCTGAAGCTGGCGAAACACTATTTTCCCGAGTTTCAGTGCATCAGCACATGAGAGAATTAGTCTACTGGTGGCCATCGTTCGGCGCAATTTGTCAGGTGGTTATTATAGTTTTGGAAGGACACGCTGCTATCTCATTGCTATTTTGGTTACCCTGAGCAGCAGTGGCAACTTTGCACAAGATGGCCGTAACAATTAATCGCGAATTTGGTTCATGCATTTCATATACGGTAACTCGTTCATAAATTTAATTAGGAATGCGACACTAGCAGTGACCTAGTGGGCAAAGCGTAAGTAAGCTGTTTACACCGTTGTATTCACTTAAAATGTGCGTACCCGCATCAAAAGTTAGTGAGTTCACCTAAAAAGAACCAGGAGTATTAAATTTTAATTATAATCTGTTTAACGATTCAATAACCGATCAGCAGCTTCAAGTCTAAAATTTGTGTTTTAATTCCCCCCCCCCTCCGAAAGAATTGGAAAGATCACATTCTCAGATGGAATCCTGACAACTATTCCCAAGTGGTCGAGGTTCGTGTACCGCCAAAACAAATTTGGACGCCGGATATTGTACTATACAATTAGTAAGTACAAATTTCACCCCCGACGAATTTCGTTCTCGACGGTTTTCAACGCTTTTCCTACACCTGGGCATGAACTGTAGTGCGGTGTCACACATGGTTGCACATTCAGAAAACAGGCTGAAGCTAGCTAGGAATACCGCTGGGAGGGGATCATTTTATCTATTCATCGTGACGCGCAACCACAGTCTGGACGGCTACTCGCTTTGATGTGCACTTCGGCCAAATCGGTCACTGGACTCGCAGTGGTTCTTCATCCAAGGGATGAACGCAGAAGAGTACCAGAACAGTCGTCGAGCGCAATCTTGCGAGTGGTTGACGCCATTTATGTTTCCGCTTCAGGAGTGGCCCTAATGATCGAACTATGCCATATCCACTTTAAAGTCAGTCGACTTGCGAAGTGAGATCGCGTGTCTCCGTCCCTTCGGACAACGAGTGTTTTAAAGTGACACTAACTTATGTATCAACCTTTGTGTTAAAGGTTGCCAGCCACGACCGGGTAGGGGCTTCGGCTGGCATCACAACGTTCGGGGTTGAAGTATCAATCGGGCTAGTTACTAAATAAATGCGGATGAGCACGAAACCGGTAGTGCAAGCAGTTGCACATTTCATGCATCTGCCGGTAGGTACAAGTTTTTAAACTGAACTTCCAAGTTTGAAAACTAGCAGGGTGCATGTCCAAGCTAATTTGACGTAGTGTAGACCACCATGAGTTAAGAGATTCTAACTGAGCGTCGGCAAACGCATTGGGTTGGGAGCTTCATGTATGTCACCTAAACGTCTGGGTTGATCAAACTCTACTTTCTGTGTGTTGCTCACCGCAGGTTTTTTGATCCATCCTAACTGAGAAGCTACGGTGATATTTTTAACGGTACGCTCCGGTTTACCGGTCCTTCAGCAGCATGCATCCCCAATTACGCGTGGCGCGTAGCCAACTCAGATTCACTGGTCTCTTTATCTCTACTGGAAGTACAACCACATGGTGTTAAGCTAGGGTACTCGACAAAAGGCAGGTAGATTCCTCGGGTTGTGTGTAGACAATAACTCCCTCATCTACCTATGCTTAAGAACCTCTCTATAGGGCCGTAGCAACCTGGAGAGCTTGGTCATGCAATTGTGTGAATAGAAGCTGGGGAAGGGCAGAAGCAATTGGGAACGGCAACTTTCGCATGCATGCATTGTCATAATGGTCAAGATAATGAGGCACACAGTGCACAGAATGCGCCATTGTACATTCCAGATAAATGACCTGTGACACATGTACAAACACAAATGTGACCAAAAGGCAGAAATCACTTTGCCTCTTCTTTAAATAAAACGCCGATTGGTGCTTCCTAGTGCCGTGCCTCGAACTATGTTAGCCAGCTGTTGTCCTGTTCGCATAAGTAACCGTTCCAGTATCGACGAGCTCACAGAAGGTATAACACTGGAGGGGTAAGTACGTGCGAACCTCAAGACACGTCAAGTTAGCAGTAGGAATCGGTTCAGTCTCTAGCTAAATTGAGCCTCTAGTTGTTGCTAATTCACATCGTTCGGGTTAATGCTGCGGAATTTCCCGATCAATCCTAGTCGCTCAGCGGCGCTGCGCGCGGTCGGTCCGCACCTGACTGATCCGGTGTTGTACTAATTTATTTATGGTCATAATTCTTTTTGAAACCAACCCTTAGCCTCATCCTCGTAATGGAGCTGCATAGAAGGACGTTGGATTCACTGAGAGATATGCTGAGGCACTTTGTGTGGATGGACTGCAAACACGAAATCCCGATTTCCATGACAATTTATTTCAGATGAAACCCCGTCATTCAGGTTACTAAGGCTGTAGTTGTACTAAATAAATGCCAAGTGTTACCCGTTAGCAATACTGCTGCAAAACTGCCCCGGCTCCAACGGCTCAATAACCGCTGTGACTGCTGCGTTATTTGTGACTTTGTGGTGAAGGGTAAATGTCAGCCAATAGTCCACATGTCCCGGATTTTCGAGTCACAGCTCTGCTGTCTGCTTGACGAGTGCAAACTGGTATGAAGATAACGGACTTCTTTATCCGCGCACCATGTACTAATCCCAATGAAGATGCGTACTCATTAGATTGAAGATTTTAAGTATATTATTACTGAGTCATTACACCCTTTTTAAATAGTACGACTATAAACTCTCATTGATTCGTCTAGGGAGGACGGTTCGAGTACATAGTTAAGACCAGATAAACAGTTAAACAGCTTTGGGAAGTTGTGGCTGCAGTAACCATTTTAAAATGATAATGCACGTTTGTTAAAAAGATAGACGTGGAGATTTTCTGCTTACTTATTCTACCGAAGATCTTGTAATCAGATAGTAGAGAATTGTTATGCTTCAGCTGAAACTGTGTGGATGAGTATTAGGAATGGCAGTAACTCGCTTTTCTGAGATTCCCAAACGCGTCAGTTATGCCAATTTTTTCCCATTGTTAGGTGGTCAAAAGGTGCGATAACGTGAGGTTACTTCTGAATTCTTCACGTCACTGCTAATAGTTGCGAGTTATTAGAGTGAATATTGATCACACCCTTCTCGCTACGCTGAAAAGGGCTACGACATTAAAACGATTCCTCATTTTTCTTCTTCTCTCTCCATTCAAGCGCGGACGAACGTTTGAAAGAAATGCGCGACGCCATGGTAGTGGTTCATTACGATGGTTCGATAAAGTGGATGCCTCCAGCAATCTTCAAATCCAACTGCAAAATCGATATCAAAAGCTTCCCGTTCGATGAACAAACGTGTCACATGAAATTCGGCTCGTGGACCTACGACGGGAATCGTTTAGATGTGTCGTTTATTAACAATGAGCAGCACGTCCTATTGGACGATTATACGGAGAGCAATGAGTGGGAGATATTTGCCAGACCGGCGATGCGCAATGTGAAATACTATCCATGTTGCCAGGAACCGTATCCAGACCTGACTTATTTTCTATTGTGAGCTACATACTGGTTACAAAATATTTATTCGTTGCTCGCATTCGCCACATTGCATTTATGGTAAAAATAGATTAAAAATTGTCTAAATTGATGACGATTTTTGCCAACTGACCTGATTCAACCAGTTCTGTGTAAATAACCCGATATGATTCTAGCTTAGGTCAAATTATAGAGCACAGACCAAGTTTTAACAAGTGAAGATAAATGCTGCAATCGAAATAAACTGGGGTCAGAGCCGAAAATAAGAAGCATACTCTGGTGACTGACACCAGTATTTATTGGAAATTCTGATATGTGTAGTTTTAAGCAGTTTCGTAACACTTAGATTGCGACAGTGATCGCACATTCCGAAGAGCGCTGTTCGGCCGTTTCGTCCAGCTGAGACTTGTCAGACGTGTACACTTCCAGCGAGTCATCCCGAATTTGAACCCACAACTAGCCTTTCTGCAGTCTTAGGCTTATGTCCTTCCTTTATCGGTAAAGCCGTCAGTATGCTTGATTAAGTTACCAGTTAGGATATAGCATATGGTTTGTTTCGCTACCGAACGTGTCACACGTATCGCAGGGTTGCCTCCTACAGACATGGTTTCCCGCGCTAAGCTACAGTCATTGGCACAACGTTATAAGCCATGGTTGTTTTCAAACCCGTCTGAAGTAAGGGGAAGTAAGGGGAAACAACCTTTTATCTAGGGTTGTCATAGATGAGCAGAAGTTGATGATATGCGTATCCTTTGAAACCAATACAGATGATTTCTGTGAGAATACCGTACTGTGCAACTTGCATAATGGAGCAATGGTTTATGACGTGTACAAAAGCTAATGCTTAACATGTCCCTTAGGATGGTTAGGGTGAAAATTACAAAATGGCACCAGTTAAAGTACGTGGGAGATGCGTGGCTCACCAAGGGGTTTGAAAATACACATGTTCCAGTATTCCTACCTGGAGTTTAGAAGGGCGATGACACCGTTTGTTCCATACTAATGCCATCATCTGATGGTCATAGGACATATTACACAGGGTAACTGTGACAGGATATCGTCAAGACGGTTTTGAATAGGGATAATGTTGGGATATAAATTACATGCTCCAGAGGGGCGTTGCAGGGCTGTGACAATCGGAGGAATAAAAGGTTTTGTCGACATTCTGGTCGGCTGTACTGCCTCACCAAATTAAAATAGTGACCCTTCAATGATATGTTTTGCTTGAGATTCAAAAGAGAATAGCATGTGTGGTTGTGGTTTTGTAGGATCTCATGCACCATTACTAAATCTCCCCGTAGACGCCGGTAACGTCGGCTGTACAGTTTTAGAGTTTTCAGCATGAGTAGTTAGTAAAGGCGGGGCAAGCCTTTGACGTTCGTCGTCGCCCTGCGTTGTACAGTATCGGGCGTGGTGAGGTGGTGCATCTTTCACGATTGCTAAGCTTGGATAGCTTATTCTACGTGAGGCCTCACGTACGGGCCAAGCATTTTCAAAAAGACTGAAGAGTCAAACTTCCCGGAAGCCTTACGAAGAAAGCCGGTGCTGGTTTGTTTTCTTTGAGGCCTTTTCTGTCTGCCTCAAACTACCCAGGTCATCTGCCACGAACACGTCGAGATCACACTTATGAGAAGCCGTTGTAGGATTTGTAACCCTAGCCGATAGTTGTGAGTACTCTAATCCCATATGTTGATAACTTTGCATTTGGCGGCTTTGAACTTTAGCATGTTCTTGGTGGACCATGTGTGTGCTTTATCCAGGTCATCTTGTGAGGCTGTTTGACCCTCCACCGTAGTGATTGCACCGTATATTTTTAGTTCATTGGCAAATAAAGGGATGTTTAAAGCGCACTATTGCGAGATCATTTATGACAACCAGGAACATGTAAGATTCGTCTACCGAGCTTTGAGTTGTGCCGCACTGGACTACCATTAGTTCTGATAAGGTGCTACTAACCCTCACATTCAGGTGATCTTGAACGCGAAAGTCGGTTATGCAACACAGAACGGGACCACTGATTGCAAAATTCTAGAGCCTATGCAGTAGAATGCGATGGTCCAGACTGTCGAATGCCTTTAAGAACTCTACATAGGCGGCATCTACTTCAACACCAGCATCTACACATTTGATTTAGCACGCATGAGGTATTAACAAGTTAGTAACACATGAGTGATTTTGGCGAAGTCCATGCTGTTCCGGAGTGAGGATTTTGTTACTCTCCAGGTACCCCTTGAGTGGCTCAGCTAGTATGGCCATGATGTTGGAGATCACCGGAAGTGTTGTTATCGGGCGTTATTTTGCTGGTTCTGCATGTCTACCACGTTTGTACTTTTGGGTGGTGATCACGTGTTTCCACATTATTGGACGTGAATCTCGTTAAGACATCACTGAAACAGTAGTGCTAACGTTTAAGCTAAACCCATGGCAACCGCTTTCAACGCGTTCATGCGAATACCATCTGTAAGTTGACCACTCAAGGAAGTGGATTGGTCATCATACAGAGGTCTGGATCCATAAGGTTTACATGGTAAACGTTCAAGCAATGAGAAATAAAACGGTCCACTTAGATAAGTGGTCAGGTTACAGAGGTGATGAACTTCGACGCTTTTACTATATTTTCACACGTAATGGCACGTCCTTTTTCTGTTCGCGCGTCCAGATAGCGATTCTGGTTATTGAAAGGCACTATACAGGATGCTCACATGGGGAGAAAGTTTACCTTAAACACTCAGAGTGAAAAGGGTTAGGCAAGGATGTTGAAATATCAAGCCTTCCCAAAAGATAAGACACTGTTAATGGATAACTGCGAACCGAAAAACTCCTGCCATAGCAAGGTGCAAACAAACGTTTCGTTCTACAAGTGTATAAAATTTATCGGTAGTTTCAAAGGCCTAAGCTTGAATAACTGGTGTCTTTTCTAAACGAAACATTCCCCAATTTCGTTGTGTTGGAGTCACCAAATCAAGCCATACCGTGTGAACTGCTCTCTAGGTTCATTGGTAGCAATGAGTTCTGGGACTCATACACTGCAGAGCTCCGGCTTTAAGAAAGACTAAACTCCAGGGACATTAAAATAACGTCAGAAAGTTTATTTAATCTCAAAGAATGCAAAATTAGAGTGCCATAGCACCTGCGATCGAGAAATATACAAAAGCTTTGGGTCCTTAGAAAGGTGAAAGCATAGTTTAATTTGAAATATGGTCGTAGAGCAGGCTCGGTGGAACATCGGATACTTTCTGACTCACTTAAAACAGCACAGCATGATGGTTGCTAAGGCCAGAGCATTCACATCCTTCTGTCTCCATGTCATTCAACTATCAGATGTCCTGTTAAATTCTTGAAACCAATTTGGAATGTCCTAACATTATACAGTAACGAATACCCCTCTGAATTCCCCAGGACGGTGTGACAACTGGAACTGATCAGATGGGAGATGTTACATATAATTGTTACGTCAATTTCACCAATGTTCCATTAGAGGAAACCATGTACTACTACAAGTGCATGTATGCAATTACATATAGTTAACTTTCGCAGCTTAAACAGGGACATTTAACTCCAGTATAGCAATTCCCTTTAGAGACAAACGGATAGAGTTGCTTTGGATTCGTTAGTAGGACCATTACACGTAGGTATCTTCATGACAAAACTGGAAAATGATGAGCTGAACAATTCCATCCGAAACCTGCTCTATTACGTTGGATGCGCAGATAACATCTTCTGTTGCGGTTAGCACATTGGCCATTGAGAATCTACGCTTGCACATGACAAACCAACCTCCCATGAGAGACTGGTAAGCAATACTCCTATGGCATTCTAGATGTCCATGGCGTTAAGGTGGTGCATAAGAAAATAACTTGGAGTGGGCAGCATCGTTACCTTGCTAACTTCGTTGCATTAATCCAGAAACAAAACATCCTTTTTCTGAGGAAAAGAGTGACGAAAACATGCACGGAAAGTGCGTTTTCGAATGAGCTGATTTTCATCCGCAGAGTATTAGTATAGGTGTTCCTGAACAAATCACTTCAGATAACAATAGTATTGCGGGCGCTTAACGTTAAACTTGTTTCTACAGTTTGGCAACTCATCTACCTATCAGTGCCTTCTGAAACTAATGCGATATCGGAACGGACAGACTTAAGGCTGTTCAATGACACCACGAGAACGTACTACGTAGCCGATTTACTTGCTAGTTTCACATGGGTATTAGTCAGAAATCGGTAGCCCAATGACAGAATACCGTAGTCTAAGTTGTCCTATTGTAGCTACAGTTATTCTTATTCCTGTCCACTTGGTACTAGGAAATTGATGGCGCATACGTCCGGAACAATCAGAGAGCCGTGTCCGTCGTAGCTCCATGACGCGGTGCCGCAGCACTTGCGCGACCAGAATCACCACACGACGCCTTCATTCGATCTATCAAATTCTCGGCAACCATACGCGCACAGTTAGGTGCCACCTGTTAACGCCTCGAGAGCGATTGTTAATTGTCTCCTTAGCTGCGAACTGCATGCAAAGAAAACATCTGTTCAAACCCCAGCTTATCCCGTTTACCGGCTGCCTCATCTAGAGATAAAGTTTCGGTCAGGTACTTAGAATTTACTTTCACTGGTGTAATCACATTGACTTCCTGATGAGCCAATTATTTCCATGACTCATAAAATTAGGGTAATTTGTGTTAGCTCTCGTCATGTTTATCGTGGTGTAGTGTCCTGACGGAGCAGTACCGAAAATAAAACTGTTAATTTTAGGATTCTAATCCGTTCGAATATCTTGAGCAGCCTCCTAATACAGTAATTTTTACCGCGACCTCATCATAGCTGTAAAGCCTGTATTGGGATGGTCCCACTCCTTATCGTCTGACCTGACTCTGATCAGTTGGATAAAAATAAGAGTTGAATAGACTTGCAATGTAAACAGTCGTCCATAGAAAGCTCCAAGACAATAGTTACATTGCTCTTCGTATTAAGGTGGTTAACATGACGCTTGCTCTAATAGGCGCGAGATTTGCTAAAACATAATCCCCCGAAATTTATATCCCACACCAAAAATATTATCCTTGCTTGTCAGTTAGTTGTTGAGCATGAAATGAGTGGAATTGTTCCAACCAACCGCATTCCACAGTAAACCAACTAGGAATTAGAGCGTTTTCATGATATGTAAACATTGTTTGCACTGCACACAGATATCACCTTGCACTCACAAAATATTGCCTTCCAGCCTCCGAAGAAACGCCGCCTTCTTCTCATACATTCTCGTGCTACCCTGTGTCCTATTATCCTCGCTCACTCTGGTGATTTTCTGGCTTCCACCTGAGTCTCCAGCCAAAATGGTTCTCGGTAAGCAAGTATTCACTTGTACTTCATGTTATCATGGACAGGTGGGACTGGTGAACACGTGTCTTCAGTTCCCACTTTGGTATGCGTGTCGTCTGGCCATCTGCTCGAATTTGCTACGCTGTACGTTGGCACAAATTGGTCACTGCTTCACGGAAGGTCGAACTAGTGAAACAAGTTCATTGACGAGGTATGGTACCACTATCCTAATTGCACTTAAAATACTTGCGTGCAGAAGGAGTGGGTGGGAGAAACGACCGGGGAGAGGGAAATAATCTACCTTAGAATAATCATTAGTCTCTTGAAAACCCAAATGTACGGATGTATGTTTTGGACCCCGGGACGAAATATGCAGAGAAAGATAAGAATGTTTTGTGCAGGGGAAAGCGTTGTGCCTGCTGATTTGGAGAGCCACGAATCCCAATGGTGTCGGTATTTATTCAGTGGTTTTCGTGCTTTACTGTTTTTGCCGCAGACAAGTTGAACTAATGTACCGGAAATGGATATAACAGTTGGAAATAGATATATTTAGCTTTACCTTTTACTCATGATGGACCACCAATCGCCGAAAAGTGGTTTGCTTCAGATACGTTCTAGATGGCGGTCGCGCGTCGCAACCCATTCACACAACCCCCTTCCCAAACTAACCATCCACCATGGTGACCTAAAAGCATTTCCCGCCGCGCTCAGTGGGATGGTGGCCAAGCCGTCTGCCGACAGTTTTTAATTCCAAGGTTTCAGTCCAAGTTGGGCTACAAGCCAAAAACGAAATTGGTCATAGGTAACACCAAACATGTATCTATCATGTAATGGATCGTGAAGAATCAGTACAGTTTCATAAAGCAATTTGCGGTGTGACGCAGTTAGAACTGAAAGTCCTACTTACCTGGTTGGCTACATTGCAGGAAGTCCTTAAAGAGCCTGCCTGCGTCCCATTCGAGGGGTACCAAGCTACTTGGGGAAATTAAAGTATGCTGGCATCCGGTTGTTCAGGCTGTGATCTGAGCCTGGGAGTGGTATTGAGAATTCCTTATCTACCTTCGTCGGAAGGCTATGCTGGATGGCCCCGTGACGGGTCGTCATCGCGAGTTCTCAGCACTGCGGAACAATGATACATTAAGGGTAAAAAAGCGAGTGTTAACAAGTCAAGTAGGACGGATAGAATGGGAAGAGAGAAATAGTGAAAAAAGGAAAGGCATTTTGGTGGGCTCACCAGAGTATTCACACATAGGACTACAGAAAAGACCCTGTATCATTTGGGAAGGGTAATACTTTTGGTGCACCGTTTTTATGTTATAGCGCATCTCAATGTACACAGGCTATATTTCGTGATGTAGATTAGCGCAACTTCAAGCCGTTTTTTAAACACAGCTAAAATTTGGGCGGAAACAACATAATTGGGCAGGGCGTTCTAAGACCTACGCACACGAAAGGAGTAAAAGTCTTAGATACATTCTAGCCAGCCGTATTACGTGGCCAAATTGAATTGATGGCCCATCAGGTGCGTGTTTTTTCTCATTAGCAATGGGCTGCAGTAGGTCATAAACCTGGTTAGAGTTCCTTAGAATCGGGTAGGCCAATATCAGATCTCCACGTAGGCGATGATACTGGCCGCAGTATAATGTTAGGGGTCTCAGCCTAATTGATATGGAGGGTGGAACAGCCCTTTGAGGTGCTTGGTGGCTCAACGCTTTGGGGTCCCGAAAACTGCGAGATCGTCCTTTGCTAAGGCTGTCAGATCTGGATCGCGTGTTCCCCATGAGGCCGCGCATTGTGTTAAACGACTGCAGAGAGGCAGACGGATCAAACCGCCCGAATACCCTTCGCAGTACACCAGCCTGTTGGTACTCTGTCTTCGACGCTTTCTCACATTGTGCTGAGCAACACAAAACAGCTTGGATTAACACCCCAATTTTGCGCTTCCGAATGACTACATTCAGGATGTGAGCTCCAAACTTGTATTTGATGTTCGGCTGGTGACGAATGTGGACCAACTAACACTTAGCTGAATTACGATGGAGCTGATTGTGGAGTGACCTGTTCTCCTTGAAGTGCACCGTGATCATCTCAGTCGGCAATCGCCAGACACATCCCAACTTCAACAGGGAAAAAACATGAAATCCAAAGTGATCAAACCTTTAAGGTCATTAATTAACACGAGAAACACAAGGCCACAGAAGTGATCTTTATGTAGCCACACATTCGACATTATTCGGGTCGGACAGTGCTCACTTATCTTTAAACTACAGTTGCTGATTCTGCAGGAAATTCCTGATCCATCCATGGACAGGATCTGATATGAACTGAACTACTCCAAGTAAGTGGATAAAAGGTTAGATCGTGGATATGAGCCACAACGAGATCAAGCGTCGAGTCAACATGTGTCCCGTAACGACTGTTATACGGTTCAGTAATGACGACGTCCGTTCTGATCAATGATAAACCGCAGATATTTAAGCTGTGGTAGGCGTAAACTGCACTTCTCTGGTCGCAGACGTATTCCGTAGTCCTTTATTCGATCCAAGATCTGCTCGAGCCTAAATGATAGCTTCTCTGGATTCGCTCCCGCAAATAAGATGTCATCTATGTAAGCTGCAACATCGTCAACTCCCGTGTGCATTGTATCCAATAACTGCAGACAAATAGCTAGCGCTATTTTAATCCTGAACATTGACCGGTTAAACTGAAGCAATCCACAATATGTTTTACTTGTCAACAATTCCTTTGAACCATCCTCAACAGCAAGCTGTAGATATGAGTCCACTAGATCCAGTTTTGCAAACAACCTACCACCTGAAATTTCGCGAAATGTCTTCTGGAACTGGTAGTGGAGAGTTGTGTGTCTGAAGGGCATCATTAAGATCAGTTGAAAAATCTGCACATACACGGATGGAGACATTAGTCTTTCGTATTACCACTATGAGAGCAGCCCAGTCAGAGTAATCAATCGGTTGTATGACATCTGTTATTCGTAGACGATTAAGCTGTTGCTCAAAACTGGTTACGGCATAATACGGAACTGGACGGTTTGAACAAAACTGATTTAGCATCTGTTCTCAACTACAATTAGGCCTTCATTTTGGTCACAGTCCGAGGCCGTCCTGCAAGACTACTGTGTATCGCTGAAACAACCACTGCAAGAAACGTCTGCTGGAGCCCAGAATCGATAATTGTGGGTGGAACGCTGGTACCCAGTGTCAGTTTGCACACTTTAGCAACAGAAATACTCCAAAAATTGAGCTTATCTAGCCAGTAAATACCATGAATGTTCAGCCCTGGCTGATTAGGGAGGTAATATATAGACTCAAACGTTTTCTCACTGTAGGTTACCAAACATCGTAGCTCACCAACCAATCCGAGAGTAGTTCCAGACGCACTGAGGGCAGTTTGTTGTGTTGGCAAATCTGGAGGAAGTCCGAAGGCTTCCCAAATGGATTGTGAAATGATGGTGATGTCCGATCCAGTGTCTAACTGAAGAGTTGCGGGATACTCATTAACACTCACTGTAAGGTAGCGCCTGCGGGATATCGCTTGGACCTGATGGGTATCAACATTGCTGTTGCTATCCTTCCTCTGTTTTGACTTCGAAGATCGTTTGTTGGAATTGTCAGGTTTAGTCGGGTTGTGTGGCTTGCAGAAACCATCTTTGTGACCAAAACGTTGACATTATTTAAATCGATGTCAGCGATAAGTGCACTGTGATGTGTAGTGCCATGCGCCACAGTTCCAATATGTTGTAGGCGGCTTTTTGGACTCCTGCTGGTTGCATCTGACCGGCCTAACATCCATCATGTTGATTTGACGCTGTTCCGCCATACTGGAATCATGCTTCAGATTAATCCGGGGTTGACATTCCTCGGCCATCTTCTGTAGGGTGACGTCTGGGTCTCTCCAGCTTGGTGAGAAGTCGTATGCGAATATCCGCTTCTGACGGAGACTGTAGAGCACAGATGAACATCAGACACTTGAATTGTGTCTACGTTATGGATGCCAGTTTAAAACGTTCGCACTGTCGGTTGACTATACCTGCTTAGGTAATGTAGTCATCCATGGCGTATTTGAAAAGTTTTAAACTATGATAGCGTGTGCTGAAGAGTGAGGAACGTTCGGCAAACATCTGAGTGAGACACTGAAAAATCTCATGGGCTTTTGACAAAATGTGATTTTTAAAACAGTCGTATTCCGTGGCCACCAACTTACAAAGCAGTGTTCGTGATCTCCATGCATCCCCCTTGTCACCGAACTGAACTCGAAATAGCGTTTGAACCAAGACTCAAATGTAACACCAGATGGAACGTCATGTTGGAAAAACTGAATTGCAAACATAAATGACTCAAAATTGGTTTGCTCATCATGCGGCGCCTTGTCTTTGGAAATCATCGAGAGTTTACAAGTCAGAGTATCGAGTAGGCGCAGCTACGAGGCTTCGAACTGCCTTTGCTGCTGGTGACGAATCGCACGGGGATTGTCTGTTGAGATTGTCATTTCAGTTGCCCATTCCGTCACCAGTTGCTATGACCTGAACTACTACAAGTGGGTAAAAGACTAGATCGTGGATATGACCCAGGTAGTATTTATACAACGAGATCAAGAGTCGAGTCAACATGTGTCCCGTCACGGCTGTTAAACGGTTCATTAATGGTTAACCCACTGATGATTGGCTGGGCGCTGGTACAATCTGATTGGATGGGAGGATATCTGGGATCGGGTCATGTGCAGCATTTGGCTTAGCCTTCCGTATATGACAAGATCCACAATTCCATAGGTTTCTAGACTCGGAAGGAGAAGGCGATGTTCCAGGCGGTTGACGGATTTGGGATTATACAAGGTAAACGACGTCGGTCCCGCCACCTTTGTCGGTCGCTTCCGTCAGACTACTACGTGCAATCAGGATGCTGGTTGTGCTTGATCAGTTTTGGTGGAAATCGTGTTGCTCCGGTGGTACGAAATTGCAGAGTTCTAAATGATGAATAAAGCCTCAGCCATGATTGCTTCCATCACCT